CAAAGTTTGCCTTGTTGTCAGGCCCTGCCCTGTGCTGTCCCCTGCCCCCCGCCCCCCCGCCCCCCCCATGTTGTCCCGCCTTACAGATGTTAGAATCTGGTCACCCTAGGATAAGAGTAGGGTCAGGCAAGAGCCAGGATGGAGGGTGGCACTTGTGGCTCAGTTGGTAGAACACTGGCCCCATATACCAAGGGTGGCAGGTTTGAACCCAGCCCTGGCCAGCTAAAGCAGCAGTGATAACTGCAACAACAACAGCAACAACAAAAAAGCCAGGCGTTGTGGCAGGTGCCTGTAGTCCCAGCTACTTAGGAGGCTGAGGCAAGAGAATAGCTTAAGCCCAAGAGTTGGAGGTTACTGTGATGCTACAGCACTCTATTGAGGATGACAAAAAAATGAGACTCTGTCTCAAAAAAAAAAAAGAGCTAGGATGGAATAATCAAGGTCTGTGGAAGATTTTAGAGACAGGAGATAGGACATGGGGCAGATGGTCTAGACTTGTTCACAACCAGCACATCAGATAAAAGTACTTCCAATTTCTCTTGCCCGAGGTCAGCATTGGTTCTCTAGCAGCATGGAGCTTACAATCAGGGGTGAGCTGTGAGAAGAGTCCCAGAGAAGTCCCAGAGATGGGATCTAGCCTCAAACATTATCATCTCAGTCACAGACTCACGACCCCAACTGACCCCAGCCCCCTCACAAACATACTGAGGTGAAACAGTGCAATCAAATCACTGCAACCTTCAGAGTACAAAGTAGGTGCCCCACTAAGAATACAAGGGGCGGCGGTGACATATTTGCTTAGAAAAAACAATAATGAAAACAACAGCCAACAAGTGCAAGACACTGTTCTTAAATTTAAACACATTTAACCATTCAATATGGACAAAAATCTTGCAAGGCATGTACCTTTACCATTTTGAAAAGGTATTCTAAAATATCCCAATTTTACAGATTAAAACCTGAGCAAAGGAGACGTGTAAGGGACTTGCTCAAGTAAACTGATAGAGGCTTGGCGCCTGTGGCTCAAGCGGCCAAGGCGCCAGCCACATACACCTAAGGTGGCGGGTTCGAATCCCCAGCCTGGGCCCGCCAAACAACAATGATGGCTGCAACCAAAAAATGACCAGGCATTGTGGCGGGCACCTGTAGTCCCAGCTACTTGGGAGGCTGAGGCAGGAGACTCGCTTGAGCCCAGGAGTTGGAGGTTGCTGTGAGCATGATGCCATGGCACTCTACCCAGGGGGACAGCTAGAGGCTCCGTCTCAAAAAAAAAAAAAAAAAAAAAGTAAACTGATAGAGCTGGGATTAAAAGAGATTTGGCTCCAGAGTCAATGATCTTAATCATCTTCGTTAGGAAGTCAAATTCACCCAATGTCTCGCATAAACTTTTACTCATACAATGGAAGACACACCCTGTATCTCTACCTCAGAGATCATATCTACCACTTTGTTTCCAGGAAGTTTCCCCATCCTTCTATAGTGAAAATTAAGTCATGAGCCTCTAAGAATAAGACACGGATAGTTTATTGGAGTGACCATCCTCTCAAAGAATGTAAACTCTTGTGCATTAATGAGCTTTGAAGTAAAATATGTCATGGATGAACACAGAATGTTAGAGACACAGGAACCTTAGGGACCATAGTCACATCTATCTTCACGTAGAGAAGTTAATTAGCTTGCAAAATGTCCCTTAGGAATAAAAGCAGGTGGTTCTAATGGCCAAGGTCAAATGCAATTGACAATTGTGTTTTACTCAGCATATGGGGTCATGAGGGTGAAGAGCCAGAAACTTTTGATAGTGATGTTCTAACTTTTGACAGAACTGCCTTAGTTCTTAGGTTGTTAGAAGGACTGTGAAACAAGACAAAGGGGTTCACAATAAAACTTCACAGGCTTTATTTTCTATGAAATGAGGAATTCACTATCTTACACAACTACTCAAGAATTATAGAGTCACCCATCCAGCCAGCCATTCGTCCATCCAGGCATTTATTCATTTATTTGCTAAAGTAGTCACTCATTCCAAATATTTGCTAAGTCAAAACTTGTGCCAAATCCTGGGTATTTCTGCCACTTTCAATCAGTATTTTTCCTTCTGCCTGGTTTCCATATTTTTAACAAGTCCAGTGCATAGGTAGCCTAGTATATTCCAATGAACTTTCTATCAAATATGTCTCAGGGTCCATAATCAGGCCATTACGTATGGCATAGTTTAAAGCTTCCATCTGCTAATTCAAAATAAAGAGTTCACTTAGGAGTATTTACTTTTGTTGCTCAAAGCCTCATTTTTTTGCTCCAACATGCCTTTTAGATACCACACGCTTATTCTCAAGCCAAAGGTGAGCCAGACTCAGTCAACAGTAAACTGCCTTCATCATCACAGGACTCAGATTGCTACAAATTGTACCTAAAACAGTTTCAAGGTCTTTGCTGTTCTTGTTGAAAAGCGCATCCGTGGTGACAAAGACATGTTTTCTCAGAGGATAGTGGAACATGGATCTCTGCACCCAGCTTCCCTGCCAGGCCCAGTTAACTTTGCTTCTGCAAACGCTGCAATCCTACCTCAGCTCTAACTAATTCTACTCCAATGATCAGAGTTCTACTCGCCCTAAGAAGCCCAAAGTGGTTGCCCTCAGGATTTGGTTTTGCACCACATGAGAATATTATTTTCTGCGGGGAACAAGGAAGGGGACTATTCCAGAAAGAAATTAAAACACAATTATCAAAGTGCCAACTTTTGAATATATTTATTCATATCTGCATTTGTGGATGGAAAATTTCTTCCATGCTACAGAGTTTTGTTAGAAACAAGTTGGTACAAATCAATAAATAATAGCTATAATTATCTAAGATAAACAGAGTAACAAACAGAATGTAACTAAACAGATGCAACTACCTTGCTGTACACAAGACTTTGAATTTTCTGTTATAAAGCTTATACAAGTACCACCATTTTTCTTCCCTTGAGATACAATTTGTTTGTTTTTCAGTTTTTGGCCGGGGCTGGGTTTGAACCCACCACCTCCAGCATATGGGGCTGGTACCCTACTCCTTTGAGCCACAGGCGCCACCGAGATACAATTTTTTATTGCACATTGCTCTGCACTTCTCTCACCAGTTCCAGCTTTGTGGTACACCAAAGAAGGACAAAGATTTCCATTAAAAATTATTTTCTACCAAACAGGGGCTTATTCTGCCACGTGTTCACTTATGTAACACAAACAAAAAAGAAGCAAAGCACAAACATTATGTGTGGCTGCTGGAGGCCGAGAATACTGACTGGGACGAAAAGCTTCTGAGTAGCTGGGCGTCAAAACCATGTACAGCAGCCATTACGAACTCACTTAACGGCATGTCAGTCATCGGGCTGGTTACTCAAAAACTGGACAGACAGAATTCCTGGATGCTGTTTCCATTTGGGCTTTCCAATTCGTATGGTTCCAACTGTCGATACTCAAAGGTCACACGATTTATGTGCTTCCCACTGGAGACCATGCGCACTACGGTGTTGTCACAGCCGATTTTCATTTGGGCTATAAATGATGGAAAAAAAATTGTAAAAGTTCCCCAGCAGGTTAGAAGCCACACAATGAAACTGTCTACCAGATAATCAGATAATTTAAACATAATGAAAGGCAGGGGGCTTCCCTTTCACACTCAAACCATGCATCTGCTATCAGGTGAAACGGCTTTGTTTTCGCTTTCAGAATAATACTGTACACAATTAATTAGAGAATCGAAAACCGAACTCAGCCTTCGTCCTCATGTGCGAGAACACTGTAATACAAAGAAAACTGGCTGGAGAGGGGCAAGCTGTCTCCTGGCCTTTTCCACATTTTCTTGTCTGCAAGGCTTGGGTGATGAAGGCACACTAGGGCAGTCAGCTCTGCACCCTCGCTTGGCTTGGACGCTTATCGTGGGGGCAGTAGTGACCTCTAGGGACAGATCGGAAATTTGCAGGGGCAGTTTTTGTGCCCTCGGTGCCCCTTAATGGGCAGGGGCTAGAGGATGGAATGCTGGACGTTTATGGAGGCCAAAAAAACACCTGCTTATTATTTTCTGAGTCAAGATAAAACTCTGTTCCACATATCCACAAACAAAAATCATTGCACGCTATAGACACGCACGGAATATACTAGTGTTTGTTCCGTTGCCCAGCTGCACCCTTTCTCCTTCATTTTCCCCACATCTTATATGAAAGGCTTCTGATATCCTCACTTCTAAATCTAAACTTTATAAGCATCTGACAACTTTTACATCACTTTCAGTACAGATGTGCTTGAGCAGTTGTATATTAAAACTCATGCTATTTTTATTAAAAATTGCTTTCCTTCACTTGGCACCCGTAGCTCAGTGGTTAGAGTGCCGGCCACATGCACCAAGGCTGGTGGGTTCGAGCCCAGCCGGGGCCTGCTAAGCAACAATGACAACAACAATAAAAAATAGCCAGGAATTGTGGCAGGTGCCTGTAGTCCCAGCTACTTGGGAGGCTGAGGTAAGAGAATCACTTAAGCCCAAGAGTTTGAGGTTGCTGTGAGCTGTGATGCCACAGCACTCTACGGAGGGCAACATAATGAGACTCTGTCTCAACAAATAAACAAACAAACAAGCAAATAAATAAACATAAAAATTGCTTTCCTTGGCAGTGGCTCACACTTGTAATCCTAGCACCCTGGAAGGCCAAGGTGGGTAGATTGCTTGAGCTCTGGAGTTCGAGACCAGCCTAAGCAAGAGTGAGGCCTCATCTCTATTAAAAATAGAAAAACTAGAAGGGCATGATGGCACATGCCTGTAGTTCCAGCTACTTAGGAGGTCAAGGCAAGAGGATGGCTTGAGCCCAGGAGTTTGAGATTGCTGTGAGCTATGATGCCATGGGACTCTACCCAGGGTGTGAGACTCTGTCTAAAAAAGAAAAAATTACTTTTTTAAAATTTCTCCAGCCTCAAGCTGGTTCCTGGGCAAATTTATCTGCCCTACAATCCTGCTTTCTGCTGTTTTAGTTTTCTCACTCTGCCTCCCCCTTTGTCTCTATCAGGTGTTTCTAAATCCTGAGAAAGGCAAGCATTGCCAGCATGTAACAGGTACCTCACAAACAGGGACATGGGTTTAAATGAAGTAAAACAATTCAATAGAGTTATTGAGGTGAAAGCCAATAGTAAATACAGACACTACAATTATTCTAATATAAGTACTAGAGAGCCTAGGTTAAGTTTCTACCAGGAGGTCCAAATTTATTTTTCTTTTTATAATTAGAAGGTCATTCTTTTCCTGATCTTATTCTGAATTTTTATCTACACAACATGACCTATTTACATTAGTTAATGTGCCTAATACTCACATATTATTTTGATATGGTTCCTGATAAAATTCAATAATGGGGTATGTAGCACTTTTTCTAGATGAGTTTGTGAACTTAATTGTCATACTACTATCTAAGTCATAAGCTTTTCATTAGCAGGCAAACCCTTTAGTCTCCAGAGGAAGAAAGCAGGAAGCCCCAAGAAGATGAAAAGAGCATAGAGTTATAAAGCTTTGACTTTTCACAGCTTTTCTTAGGACCAAACTTAAAATATATATCCTCACTGCTTCATAGATTTCTCTCCCAATGGCAGATATTTTGGTAATAGATTTTGATACTGAACATAAGCTCAAATGTAAAAATCCTCATACTGATTCACTGTACACAATTGACTTTTCTTCTTCTTCTTCTTCTTTTTTTGTTTTGGTTAAACTTGTCTTCCCATGTATAAAAAACACTCCATTGGGAGTTTACTTTTAAAAATTCTTGATAAGCACATAAATAATAATCAAAGAAATTTCTCACCGGGACCATGAAAGGGGTAGCAGAGGTCAGCTAAAGGCATCATTTTGGAAGGGTCTAATCCAGCACCTCCCAGCAGCTCCACGAAGTCTCCTACCCCTCCACAACCCACTGAGGGTTTCTATGGGGACAAAACCACAGAGAAAGATATGTTTAAACCACAAGTCAAACCTTTTGATCATCAGCGAGTTGGTAAATCCACTCAATCAGCCCTCAACATCCTGGCAGTGCCATTTAATTTAACATCTGGGACTCCGGAAATTAAAAGACATTTAAAGGGGGGAAAAAAAAGTCATAAGGATTGCTTTTCTAAATCAGATGAGTAATCATTTTCTTATAAAATGAGAAAAATGTGTCAGTGCATTTTTTTCCCCCTCAAACTGAAGGACTGGAATGATAAAACGGGAATCTGTAAGCCCCATATGAGATGTATGAAAATTAAACCTGAAAATGCTTTGCTTTTTGAATCATTTGGACATACGTACTGAATTCCTGGAATCTCTTAATGCCGACAGTCAGAGTTAAACCACGCCAAATCCTTGCCCCGTATAGATAGGGCGTTCACTCTGCTTTTCCTTCACCTTATCTCTTTTCCTCTTTTTTGTAAAGCAATTTTTCTGCTACTGGAACATATCATTTCTGCCAACAAGGATTAGATTAATTATGTGCATATTTAAAAAGGATAAAACGCTGGTTTGGTGGCCCAAGTTACCTACAGTCACTATCATCTTTCTCCTTTCAACTAGAACACATTTTTTTGAGATACTCAAAGGCAGAATTGATTCTAAGACTTTGTGTGGTCCCCTGTGACCACGTTTTTCAGCTTCCCTTCATCCTTCCTGCACTGGCTTGTCCACAGCAGATCCGGTGCCTCATTTTCCCCCACAAAGCAGCAACACTCTCAGTCCAGTTATTGCACTTTGGGCCACCCACCTCCTGCAATCAGGGGTGGCCTCATGGTCATGCCACCTGTTGCGGCCATAGAGGGCCACATCGAGCAAGGCCCTGAGCTTGGTTGTGCTGCATTCTCAATAAATTTTTAATAAGGGCCCAGACATTTTCATCTTTTTTTTTTTTTTTTTTTTTTTTTAGACAGTATCTGGGATAGACTTTATTTCTTTTATATGTG